GTGCCCAGCAGCAGGAAGCTGGAACAGGGAGTGGTGCTGTGACTCAACCCAGGTGTCTTAACTGCTGGCCCAAATAGCTGCCCCTGTTCTCAACTTTTTGGAAACCTTGTACATTCCCCTCCTGTGTGCCAGTCTCCAGATTTCCACAGGGATGGAAGATTACTACCCTCAGACAACCGGTAGAGGCGCAGAGTTTAAAGGCATATGTGTTTCTATATCCTCTTCTCAAGTGTCTTTTTTTTTCTTTTAAATCAGGAAGGTATTTCCTCTAATGTAACAACAACAATACTTCTGTTTTCCCTTCTCAATGTATTTTATCTAAAGTCACAGACTTTTCTTTGATTCTGAGTCTACAACTACACTTCTTGACATTTCAGTGATGTGTAATGATAGTGATTCATAAACAGGTTATGTTCATGGCTGTGTTTATATGTTTATACATAGACATTTTCTCATTTCCTAAAACTTTTGAATGATCAGAAGCAAATGAAGGCAGGAAACAGACATTTCTACTTAGGGGAAAAAAGAGGAATTGAGATAGTACATGAGAGTGAATTGTATAAAATGAAAACGGAGGCTTTTAATTACCCAAAGGAGAGAAGTGAATAAAATTGAGTGACAAAGAACCAGTATAGGAAACCTGAGATAGTAACACTATGAAATAAAAGCTGGGAAAGCTAGATCCCAAGTACAACCTGCAGAAGGGTTTGTGTGTTTGGATTTTGGTTTCCTTTAAAGCAACTTACCATTATTCACTTCCTTGCTGACATCATTCACTTCCTCCAAGGCCTTCCTTGCTTACTCCATCTACAATAGCATCCCCTCATTTCCATATCCACTCTACACACTAAGGTTGGTCTTGTTTTTCTTCTAGCTATTTTTTAAAAAATATTTTTATCTATTTATTTGAGAGATAAGAGTTACAGATAGTGAGAGAGAGAGACAGAAAGAAAGGTCTTCCGTCCATTGGTTCACTCCCCAAATGGCCGCAGCGGCCGAAGCTGCGCCAATCCGAAGCAAGGAGCCAGGTGCTTTTTCTGGGTCTCCCACATGGGTGCAGGGGCCCAAGCACTTGGGCCATCCTCCACTGCTTTCCCAGGCCACAGCAGAGAGCTGGATTGGAAGAGGAGCAGTCGGGACTAGAACCGGCACCCATATGGGATGCCAACGCTGCAGGCGGAGGATTAACCAAGTGAGCCATGGTGCCAGCCCCTCTTCTAGCTTTTATCAACCAAATTAACATCAGTTGGTTTCACCTAGAACATGCCTGCCACAAGATGGGCACCTAAGAAATTACTGCATGAAAAAAATGTATTCTTTAGCCACGAACTTGGAAGTAACTAGCTTCCTGAAGTATTTCAGAGTATTCTGAAGTTCTACATTCATCTTTAAATTGAAATAATTATTTCTACACAAGACAATAGAACATTATTTGTTAAAGATTAAATTGATTCAGTTACAAAAGCATTAGTATCATCTTCAATTTTGTCATAATTGGTGTTATAATCTGCTGAACATAAAAAGAATTTAGCACTTCCACTGGTGTGAGCTTTCACAAAACAAAACAAAACCTCAATAAGAGGAAAAAATGGAATGGGAATAAGAATTAAAAAACAAGCAAAATTCATTGTGTATAACTGCATGGACAGACTATTCATTAATTTCACTTTTTGACTTAAGCAATAGTTCTTTCCCTTGGCACTTTCTCTTGATGTTTTATCATCTGTGTGAACAGAGGAAATTAAATATTTGCCTAGATTGAGACAAAGTTAGTTTTTCCCCTAAATTTGATGTAAATACTTCCCAAAAGATTGACTTTTTTTTCACCTGAAAGAAGATGAAGTAGATAAGAAGCACGGGGGAAGGCTCATGGATCACACACTACGTCTTACAGGAACCTCAGTGGTAGAATCCCAACCAGTGTTCCCAAACACATGCATCTTAAATGCATGATCATTTATCTCTGTAGGGCTCTTAATGCTACTTTATCTTTCTGGTCCACTCACTGTCTCCCTCAAATCTCTAACAGTTCTAGTCCTATCATTTCTCTCAACTGATGACCCTGATGACCCTGATTCCCACTTCAATGAGAACACTGAGGCAATCAGAAGACCTTGAACATGACCATTCTAACTGGCATTTGTGCCCACATCCTCCACCTGCATTCCTATGAACAGGAATTGCTCTTGGCCAACCTCTCATTTTATGTACTAGAACCTAACCCTCCAACTTACCCGAGGATATCACTCAATAATTCCCGCCCCCTCCAACAGTCTCCCTCATCAGTGATTCTACTCTCAACCAGCTGCAAAAGCATATAAGCATGCTGTTATTCTTCCTAATGTTTAAATTTCCATGTTCTTCATTATTTCAGTAAATGGTAACTCTCTTTCCAGTTGCTTAGGCAAATATTTTGGTGCAATTTTTTACTTTACTCATAATCTACTTCCAAGTCATTAGCAAATCCTTTAGGTTCTCTCTTCAAAATATATCCAAAATCAAATAACTTATCTCCTCTATTGCTACCAACCTAGACAAACCACCGTCTTTGGTCTGGACTCTCGCACTCATTATCCTGTCTCTATGTTGATCTCCCACAGCCCTTGACCCATTTTATTCTCAGCACAATAGTCGGAGGGATCCTGTTACAACATATATCACTGAATGAATTAATGACTCATTCATAATTCCAAATCATTTTATAAGCAAACTGTATTCTATTCTTCAAGGGAAATTGAAAAGTTTTCTTCTTCAAATCTTTTCTGCTATCAGGAAGGAAAAGCTAAGAAAAAAGTCAGCAACCATCAAGTCTGTTCCCCTAAATAATTTTACTTAACTTTCAATAAAGCCCAAGTCCTCCTCCCCAAGAGTAAGGCAGTCAGTCTCCAGAAAGCCAGTCCCTCAGAGAATGCAAAACACTGAAGGCAACATGCCCATGGGCTTCAATCTGACCCCTCAACTTTCCTATCAGTAAAAATTAAAAAAAAAAAAATAATGAGTTACCTTGATCTCTTTCTTGCAAGAAAAACCACCCCTTACCATTTTCCCCTAGCTCTGGGATCTATGTTTCTATTTGATTCTGATTTGGTCACTTGCATTCCAAAACATAGGAAAGGCTGCATCATTGTTCCAGAGAGACATCTCAAGTTACAGCAATTAAAAGGATGATTATCAGCGAGCTGGAATTATCAGCATGGTGACTCTGAACCACATGTCCTCTCAATGGGGAATGCTTGTCAACACACAAGTGGATTCTTACTGAAGCATACCGTTTCTTACATTCACGAATTCAGTTGTGTTTTTTTGATGCGGAGACCTTGCTCTAAATTCCAAATAGGAAATTTTGTGAGGCTCATGGGAAATGAAAAAGATTAAGTAAAAGGAAGGAGTAAAACAATCATTTAAGAGGATAAAGTGTCCATTTAACTACAGAGGACGCATGTAAACAAACTGTAGAAATCTGGACTCATGATACATTTTTAGAAGACTTAACTTCTTCCACATTTTCCTATCTCTAAATGACAACTGTATCCTGCCTTCATCTCAGGCCCAAAATTAGACCTTGACTGGTTTTTCTCCACAGTGTCACTGTACTGCTTTCAGCTTTCTTCTCAAATTCTCAGTGAGGCCTTCCCTGAACAACCTTCTTGAGAGAGTAACCTGCCCAGCACTGCCACCGCTGTCTTCCCAGCTGTACCAGTCAACACTGCCACACACACCTGCACATGCTCCATATTTGGCTTATTTTACTTGTTGGTTACTTTATGGATCTTCTCTTGCCACCAGAACCATAGTCCCATAGACAGGCATTTTCTGCTTTGTTCACTGATGAGTCTCCAAGTAGCAGAACACCTGACACATCGTTGTGATTCATACTTGCGTAAGACGAAGTAGAACTACAACATTTGCTTCAGGAAAGGCTATAATTTAATTCTTAGCCACTTGTTCCTCCTAATAAATCCTACAAGGATAAAACTTTCTGATGCATAGATACAGGAAGCAATGACAGGTGGCTCAGCACTCACAAGCCTACTAGACAGAGTTCATTCTTCACCCCCACTAACACAAAACTAGAAATTGTGTTTAGAATTACAGGCAGTAGGGGGCAGCACAGCTTTACACCATAGAGGTTCCTCTTAAGTCCACCTATGGACTCCAGTAGTCATGGAGCTCCCTACACCGCCAGCTTTAACTAGCCTCACACCTTGGCTGATCTCACTGGAAACGTGTGCTATTTTAACATTTTCAGTTTCCAAATAGAAGCCCAAGTACTTATTTTAAACTCTTAAAATATTTAAGTATTCAACAAAGTCAAATGCTCTATGAAGCATCTGTTTGAAATGTCCGAGTTTATTATTACATTTCCACCAAACAAGTTCTCAAACAGAACTACAGTTTTAAAAAATACGTGAACAATCACATTTGCATCAGCCAACGAAGAGGGGTCACTGACATTCAAGAAAGGAAAACTGTTTAGTCCTGATAGACTACTTTCTACAAGAGTTATCAGAACTCTTTCTCAACAATCGGAGGCACAAAAGTCTGTACAAAGGTCGCAATTTCTTTTCGTAGCGTTGCAGGGGGAAAAACTGAATACCAATTTTCTAGAAAGACATAATTTTACAACTCTTGGGGTTTTTTGGGGGGAGGGGCTGGCTTTTTTTTTTTTTTGGTATGCTCTGCTCACTCACTCACCAGCCCACCCAAAAAATACAGAGCTAAAACCAGTCCTTTTCACTCCATTTCCATGATTCATAAGTCAGTAAGTTCTTAGGCAACTTGGTGCGATCGCCAATACAAAGTAATTCAGAAGCAGCGCAACCCAGAGGGGACACCCTCAGGCGAGCTCTCGCATTCCAGGGTAGTAGTGCGAATCTGTAAGCCAGGTTGCCCAATCCCAAGGCAAGATGCCTTGCATCTGTCACTCTCACACTCCACGACCTCCCTCACCCCAGTGCCCCTGACAGCGCCGGCCCCGCGGGCCCCGGGTGCCCTCTCACCGTCACGGCACTTGTACTGGCACAGCCCATCCTCGCCTCCCAGGAGGTCCAGGGCGGCGTTCAGGTACGTGTCTATCTTGTGGACGCCGTTCCTGATGGTCTTCAGGGTGGCCCGCCAGTCGGTGGTCTGGGCCTGCTCCTGGGAGGCCACAGCGGCCACCAGGAGGAGCAGGAGCGCGAGCGAGGCCATCCGCACGGCGCCGGGTCCCCGCTGGTCCCCCGTGCCCCCGGAGCCGCGGCGCAGAGCGCGCTCCCACAGAGGCCCCGGGGCGCCCTAGGCAGCGGCTCCAGCCCTGGGCTCCGCCGCCGCCTCCATGCCCACGCCTCCTTCCTGGCTGGCTGACGCGCCCTCACCGCCGCCTCAGCACGGCAGCGGCGGGCAGGCGGAGGCGGCGCCTGCTCCCGCTCACCTAGGCGCGCGTCCGGCGCTGCGCGCCTGCGCCGGAGCCTGGTGCGTCACGGGCACGCGCGGGGCGGTGGCGTCTTCCCCGCCCGCGGGGTCGCTCAGGCGCTCCCAAGGGTTTGGGGCCTCATGACTGAGGAGTCGGGTTACGGTGGGTTCGGAGTGGCAGTGGGCATCGGTATTTCTTAAAAGCATACCGAGTGGCCGGCGCCGCGGCTCACTAGGCTAATCCTCCGCCTTGCGGCGCCGGCACAGCGGGTTCTAGTCCCAGTCGGGGCGCCGGATTCTGTCCCAGTTGCCCCTCTTCCAGGCCAGCTCTCTGCTGTGGCCAGGGAGTACAGTGGAGGATGGCCCAAGTCCTTGGGCCCTGCACCCCATGGGAGACCAGGAGAAGCACCTGGCTCCTGCCTTCGGATCAGCGCGGAGCGCTGGCCGCAGTGCGCCGGCTGCGGCGGCCATTGGAGGGTGAAGCAACGGCAAAGGAAGACCTTTCTTGTCTCTCTCACTGTCCACTCTGCCTGTCAAGAAAAAGAAAAAAAAAAGCATTCCAAGTGCTAGTGCTGTGGCCAAACTGCCGAAATCGCCATGGCCTACTTCTGATCTGTCGGGTTGAGCTCGGTCACCCAGAAAGCCGGGTTTCCTGGGGTCTGGACAACATTGGGAGAATGAGCTCAGGCGCTCCCAGGCCGGGAGCATCGCGACGGGTCCGCTGAGTTTTGGGTTTGAAAATGTGATGCTTCAGCCCTTCAGGCATTTGGATCTGGCTGAAGAGCCCATGAGTATTTTAGGCATGGAAAGCCAAGACACTCTGGCAAAAAAAAAATAAATAAATAAAATAAAAAAAATAAATCTGCGAGTGAGATCCCAGTGGAAAGAACAGGCCATCAAAGAAGGAGGTACCTTTCTCTGAAGGGAGGAGAGAACTTCCACTTTGACTATGACCTTGTCTAAATAAGATCAAAGTCGGGGAGCTCAGGGGGCTTCCATGGCTGCCTTGGCAACTCATGACTAGAGCCTGGGGAGATTGCTGACACCTTAAACAAGAGTGTCAAATTGTTAAGTCAACAACAGGAGTCACTGTGCACTTACTCCTCATGTAGGATCTCTGTCCTTACTGTGTAGTTCAATGTGAATTAATGCTATGACTAGTGCTCAAATAGTATTTGGCACTTTGTGTTCTGTGTGGGGGCAAACTGATGAAATCTTTACTTAATATATACTAAATTGATCTGTATATAAAGATAATCTAAAATGAATCTTGATGTGAATGGAATGGGAGAGGGAGCGGGAGATGGGAGAGTTGCGGGTGGGAGGGAAGTTATGGGTGGGGAAAAGCCATTGTAATCCATAAATTGTACTTTGGAAGTTTGTATCTACTAAGTAAAAGTTGAAAAAAAAAAGTGGCAATACAAAAGATTGTGATTCTTTTAGAGAGGAGCTCTCAGGTTGCAGGGCTGGGCTGCGCCTCGCTGCCGGGTCTTAATGCGCCTTGGGGTATGGTGAGCAGGGTCCGGGGAAAGTCACCCCAAGGCCATGGCAGTGTTTGACTTTAACGAGGATGAGCTAGAGGTTGGTTTAGACTTTCTGGGACTAGATGGTTTGGCAGTAAAAACAACAGGTTTCTTTCCCTGGTGAGGAACTCAGTAGTCTATACTGGAATGCAGTATTTAAAAAAAAAATCATAGTCAAGGCAATCACCATTTTTCTTTTCAAGGTGTTCTGTAACTTGATAGTTCCAGTGACGTTTCTCTGCATTTTTCCCAGCACTGTGCAGGATCCATAAATAAAGACTGCAGTACATTTTACCAGAGCTATAAATATCTGGTTGCTTTAGTATCCCAGCAGTTTTTGGATGGATTGAGGGCAATGACGTAAATGTTAGGAATAGAAGCATACTTTGTATAAGGACTACCAAGATTCTGGTTTGGTGTTTTGTGTTTGTGAGGAGCTGCCTGAGCTTGGAGTACAGTGGCCCACGTTGGGGTGCAGCAGGTTAAGTCCCTGCCTGCCTTGGCGGAATCTGCTTTGCTTCTGATCCAGCTCCCTGCCAATGTGCCTGGGAAAGCATCAGAAGATGGCCAAGTCACTGGGGTCCTTGCCACCCATGTGGGAGACCCTTCTGGACTCCCGGCTCTTGCAACCATTTGGGGAGTGAACAAGAGAGTGGAAGATTTCTCCGTCATTCTGCCTTTCAAACACATAAATCTTAAAAAATGCAGTACAGAGTTCCTAAGGATTACATCCTCTTTATCGAGGGCTCACTCTTGGCCAGGCATCTCATCTACCAGACCTCTCACATTCAGAGCCCAGCTTGACCGGGATGTAGGTAGCCTTTGGGCCAGTTAAAAACAGAAAGATGTCCCTTCCTGTGAACTGATGTAGCACAACCCTGGGCTGGGTTAGTGGAGAGCTAGCAGACTTAGTGTCAACTCAGACCCTTAGCCAGGTTGCCTGCAGTTGGCTTGAACTCCTGCTACAGTGGAGGAGTGTGCCCAGTGGAGTTGAAGTCAGGTGACAGTATTCAAACTAAGGCTCACACACTGCAGATTTTTTGTCCTGTATAGCATATTGCAACATATTCAGAAAAGGGAACACAGAATCATTTCCCTAGCTTTCTGGAAGATTGATGTTTTCATCTCTATACAGTGTGGATGTTCGGCTTGAATATCTCAGATCTCACTCACCCTCACCACCAGAATCCTTGAACAAGGCTGCATTCTTTCAAGTCTTCTTCCAGAGAAACCCCTGGCTCAGGAATAAGTCTTTGAAGATTGGGCAGAATGTAGGAAGGTAACCTGGTGCTTGCCCTCAGTTAAGACCCAAAGAATCCTCCCCTTTTCTCTGAATATTTATTCTTTTGTGATCACATCTAGTTTCTTACATCTTAGTAGCACCCTCTGCTCTGAACACTCAGTCTTCTGTGTCTCATCTCTCTGATGCCAGTCTCTCTGGATGATGAAATATTCTTCTTCTCTCAAACAGATCTTGGTTTTCACTCTGTATTCCCATGGTAATCACCACCAGCGTTCACTTCCTCTTCACATTCAATCATTATATATTTGTTGTTCAGCTGCAGGAATTCCAAAATTTCCTCTCTCCTCTTAATTTCTGCTGTCAAATATCAAGTTTTGGCATTAACCACAGACCAACTGTACAATTTGCATGACTTGGTGAAAAAGTTTAAATGCAGGACTCCTTATTCAAAAAGTGAGAATTTCAAGATGATGACAGCATTAGTGCAAGTGCAGAGCCCTTCGCAGTGCAAGGCCTGTGCCACTGCAAACAATGCATGCCCTGACCCACCTTGTAACTTCTTCCAGATGACTCACAGCACCCTTTCATCCCAAAAGTTAGCACAAAATGTTCGAAGTGTGTCCTTCACGGGGCACTTTCATCAACAAAGACTTTCTGCTTGGAAAGGTATACCATTAGACAAGTTTCACCAGGGAGAGACTTCCAAGTGATACTTGTGGGTAGGATGTACGCTTACTTGGTGTACTGGAGAAAATGAACCAGAACCCACTTCGATGAGGTTGCAGGGCTGTAGACCATCAGGACAAATTCAGGTGTGTGGTTGATTTCTCTTAATTTCTTCTAAACCTGTAGTTGATTTTCTGCTTTGTGTTTACACATCTACACTGGATTCCTATAGGTACCACAAATACAAAAATACATTGACTAAATTTGCTTCTATTCCTCTGTTCTATTTCTGTAGTCATTCACAATGCCACTCACCTCATTATCCAAGAGGAAACCTAGGAATCACTCTAGACAGAAATCATTCCCCCTAGTACCCTGTCATCTATTTTGTCCCCAGATGTCACTGAGGAGTATTTCACTCCGTAATGTATCTGAAATCAGTGCCATCTCTCTTCCCCTGCTTTTGTTTCTGCCTCCAGCATTTTCACTGGGATTACTCGAAGAGTCTCTTAACTGTCTTCCCTATTCCATCTCATTTCCCTCTAAAGTATTTTCCTCACTGCCTTCAATTTCAAATTTCCAAAACCTGTTAGTGTTCCCAACTCTTGGTGCACCTAGGGCTCTAGTCACATGGCTCTGTTTCCTTATGTAGTTGGCTCCTACCACTACCACTGCAGGAACTTTGCATTTGCATTTGCCTTGAAAGTTCTTCCATATTTCAGACTAAGTTTACCTATGGATGCTCTCCTTGACACTTCGGGCTGCTTTCCACATCTGTCTTGAGTTTTCTTTATCTTTGGACCTGGCAAAATATAGCTTCATAACTTATTTTCCTGTCTGCCTCAGAAATAGTGAGTTCTGAGGCCAGGGTTAAATATGATGGCCAACCCTCACATCTGATGAGTGGTGTCCCCTGAGCACTCTCAGGGAAGGCCATGTGAACACAAAGCAGCAGCAGTGGCAGGGGACCAGCAGCAGCACCAGTGCTCAGCCTCTGCACTACAAGGTACACTTGGAGACTGTGGTCCAAACTAATGGCTGTGGAAGTTGCTGATGGAACAATCCTAAGGTGGACTCTGTGCGTTATTCCCAGATGTGTAGACTCCAATTTTTTTTGAGATTCTGTGACCTGCATATTTTTGAGCAAATATTTTTTCATTAAACCAATTAGATTTGCTTCTGTTGTCTACAATGAGGAGTCCTGAGGTAGACCTCTGAGCTGGGAAAACCCTGGGGTTTTCTGCCACTGTTCTGGGCTGCTGCCATATGCAGTCACTCTGGAGAGCTTGCTCTTGACCCTTCAGACCCTGATCCTGGTCTACTCTATGTTGGAGCCTCAGGCTTCAGGTACTATGCAGACTGACTTAATCCTTCAAGGTGCCATCACATCACTAGATTAGTTGAGGGTGCCTACATCCTATAGCCCTTTAGTACCTTTGTTTATTTCACACAAACATCTTGTAAGTTGCCTCTTTACTCTTGCTCTGTTAAACCAGGACAAGGTGGATTTAAAAACACGTCCAAGGTCTGCGCTGCGGCTCAATAGGCTAATCCTCCACCTGTGGCGCCGGCACACTGGGTTCTAGTCCCAGTCGGGGCGCCGGATTCT